ATCTAAATATTTTGAGTTTATATAGACCAATATCCTTACTCTCTTGTGTATTCAAAACCCTTGAAAGGCTTATAAAATTTAAATTAGATTGGTGGATACAAAAAGAGAATTTACTCCCAGTAAACTAGTTTGGCTACAAAAGACGTTTTGAAACTCTAAACGCTTTAACAACACTTGTAGATGTACAGAATAACTTAACTAGGAATAACTGTTTAACAGCCCTATTCATGGATATTGAAGGAGCATATGAATCAATAATCAATCAATAAAGAGAAATACCAAGAGGAATTAGCACGGAAACTAGTAGCAAATACCTTTGAGCACAAGAATATAGATAAACTAGCTGAGAAAATAACGAAAGACATACAAACAGTCACTAAGAAACTTTGTTGCAGAATAAGAAAACAAAAGGAAGCTAAACTAAGACCCGAAACACTAGAACAGATAGAGAAAAGAAGAAGAACGAACAGAGATAATCCGGACTATAAAGCGCTCAACAGAAGCGTTAAGAAAAATATTCGAAAAGACCTCAGAGTTTATAGAACAAATCAGATTCTTGAAACCATAGAAAACAATAAGAACATGAAAGTACTAAAAACATGTAAATCCACTGGCAGGAATAAAATCATAAAGATAAAAGACGACCGTGGAACATTGTGCTCGCATAAGGAAGAGATCGTTAGAGAAATCCGAAAATTTTATGAGAAGCTGTATACTTCTACTATTCCGAACCCCGATATACCAACAAAACATATCTTAAATGTGGGCTCAGAGGACTTCCCTGAAATAATAACATCAGAAATTAGAGCCGCCCTAAAACAAATGAAAAATGGGAAAACACCAGGAGAAGATAAAATTACTTCAGAGATGCTAAAAATATGAGGCACTGCATTAGAAGAGGCAATAAGAGCATTACTTAATAAATGCCTATTGGAAGAACAAATACCGAAGACATGGAAAAATGCGGAAGTCATTCTACTCCATAAAAAAGGGGACGCCGCAAATATAGAAAACTATCGACCAATAAGCTTATTGTCACCCCTTTACAAACTACTAACCCGAATAATAACAAATAGATTGACAGCTAAACTAGATGCATACCAACCAGTGGAGCAAGCAGGCTTTCGTAAGGGTTTTAGCACTATCAATCACTTGCAAACAATTCGGACCATTATTGAAAAAACAATAGAGTACAACATACCACTACATCTGGCATTTGTCGATTATCACAAAGCATTCGACAGTATTGAGAAATGGGCTTTCTTAACAGCATTGGACGACGCCAGAGTAGATTTAAGATATGCTGCCCTCCTTAAGAATATATACGATGATGCTACTTTTTACGTAAAAATAGATGATGATCTGGAAACTATGAAAATAGACCTTGGCAAAGGTGTGAGACAGGGCGACACCATCTCACCCAAGTTATTTACTTTGGCATTAGAAAATGTTTTCAAACAACTAAATTGGGCCGAAAATGGATTAAAAATAGATGGAGTATATTTTAACCATTTGCGTTTTGCAGACGACATAGTACTAATAGGCACAGATATCCATGAACTAAAATCAATGCTACAAGATTTAAATCACAAATCGAATCAAATAGGATTAAAAATGAATCTCGACAAAACAAAGATATTAAGAAACAGCCTAGAAAACATCACGATAGATAACATCAATATAGAAAAGGTTGAACAATATATATATATATATATATATATATATATATATATATATATATATATATATATATATATATATATATATATATATATATCTAGGACATGCAATTAAAAATGAAAAGGAAAATCAAACCATAGAAATTAAAAGAAGGACACAATTATCATGGGCTGCTTTTGGTAAGTTGAGCTTCATTTTAAAAGACAGAAAAATCCCAATTCACTTAAAACGAAAAACTTATGACACTTGTATACTACCAGTTGCAACTTATGGATTGGAAACTATGGCAATAACAAGAAAAATGGTAGAACAATTAAGAGTAACTCAACGGGCCATGGAGAGGGCCATGTTAAATATAAGCCTCAGAGACAATATTCCTAACACCGAAATACGTCGAAGAACTAAAGTAGTAACATTGAGATGGCAATGGGTAGCACATGTAGCAAGACAAGACACCAACAGATGGTCTCATAAAGTGACATTCTGGAGACCTCGAGAAACAAAAAGAAGCGTGGGAAGACTTAAAAAGAGATGGTTAGACGATATAACTGCTGTAGCTGGAAAGCAGTGGATGAGAATTGCAAAAGATAGGGAAGCGTGGAAGTAATTAAAGGAGGCCTATGTCCAACATTGGACAAATGAAGGCTGAAGAAGAAGAAGAAGAAGATATGAATCAAACACTACTTGATAGTGTCGTTGAGAGTTGTAGGGAGGCAGGTCTGGATCTTAACATTAAGGCGAAATTAGATCAAGGATAGAGCAGGTTAGAGCTGCTTTTAGAAGGATGTCCAAGATGTTATGTAACAGAGACCTAAAATTGGCATTAAAGATCCGTCTACTTCGCTGCTACGTGTTCTTGGTCTTACTCTATGTTGTCGAGTCCTGGACTGTGAATAAAATCGATCTAAATCGCCTTGAGGCTTTCGAAATGTGGTGCTATAGAAGAATTTTAAAAGTTTCCTGGGTGGAGAAGATTCTGAACTCCACAATACTAGAACGTCTCAGCAAGACTACTGAGATTATAAAGAGCATCAAGCATCAAGCATGAAGCAGAGAAAGCTGGAGTATTTCGGACATGTAATGGGAGGTCCCAAATATAGGTTGCTCCAAAATATCATGCAAGGAAAAATAGCAGACAAACGCAGTCCAGGACGAAGAAGAACCTCATGGTTGAAAAACTTGCGAGATTGGTATGGTGTTGATACAAGCATGCTATTTAGGGTGGCAGTGAATAAAATTAAAATAGCTATGAAGGTAACAAACGTTCTGAAAGGACATGGTATATGAAGAAGAAGATATGAATCAGTTTGTCATCAATCTTGAAATTCAAAATGGTAAATTTCTTTCATTTGCCAATTGCTTTCGTTAACACAATAACATAATAACAAACGAATAGGACATCGACACAATTATCACGACATACCACAAGGCTCGGTATTATCACCAATTTTATTTAATATGACATACTTTAATATGATATGGATAACATCTATACACAAGAAAGGTAGTAAACAAGACCCAAATAACTACAGAGGTATTACCGTAACTAGCACACTAAGTCGACTATACGGAAGAATACTAAAAGACCTCATATGTGAAGAGTACCATCCATACGAGTCAGAGGAACAAAGCGGCTTTAGAGCAGGTAGATCCACAATAGACAACATTTTCTGTATAACCCAAGTAATAGAAAAGAGGCTGTCAAGAGCCCAAGAGTTGCATTTGCTTATGGTAGATCTAACAAAGGCATATGACACGGTACCCATTAATAGACTATGGGAAGTACTAGAAAAAACCAGCATAAATGTATCTATCATACAGGCGCTGAAAGAACTATATAGAAACCCGACATCTAAAATTAAAATTGGAAATAGAATATCCAAAGGTTTCCTCGTCACTAAAGGACTAAGGCAAGGATGCTGTGTATCGCCAGTATTATTTAATATATATATATTGATGAAGCCCTGAGGCAGTGGAAGAAGAAGTGCAATGGAATGGGACTACCGATAGGAGATACGATACTCTATACGCTACACTATGCAGATGACCAAATTGTAATTGCACAGGACAAAGAAGATCTTGAATATATGACAAGGAAACTGATAGAGGAATACAGAAAATGGGGTCTGGAGGTAAACACCAAAAAAACACAATATCTATGTGTAGGCAGAGAAGAAACAGAGAACCTGAACCTGGAACAGGAGACAATTACAAGCTGTAAGGAATATGTATATCTGGGAATAAAACTAACGAGCACAGGACGAACCGAAGAAAATATTAAAAACAGAATAGTAAAGGGAAGACAGGTGATAGGAGCCCTGAATTCGGTACTGTGGCAAAAAAATATAAGAACAGAAAATAAAAAACGAATTTACAACACAATATTAAAACCAGTGTTAACTTATGGAGCTGAAGTCTGGCAATTAACTAAGAAATACAAGGATAAATTACTAGCCACTGAGATGGATTTTTGGAGAAGGTCAGCAAGAAGATCTAGATTAGAACACATAAGAAACGACGACATTAGACAACAAATGGAAATAGAAAGAACAATCATAGATGACATTGAAAGACAACAGCTAGTATGGTACGGGCACGTAAGACGAATGGAGGAAAGAAGAATCCCCAAGAAAGTGTTAGAATGGACCCCCACAGAAAAACGAAAACGAGGAAGACCAGTAACCACATGGATGAAAGGCATCTCCAAGGCAATGTCGGAACGAAATTTGAGAGATGAACACTGCCATAATAGAAAAGAGTGGCGATTAGGAACGGAAAGGCGTAGAACGCTATAAAACCGGTTTAATATATATACTTAATATGTAAATAAACAACATCCCATTCAAAATAATACAATATGCAGATGACGTTTGTGTCCATACAGAAAGTAAGAAATATGAAAACGGTATGCAAAACCTAAGCAGAGTATATAGTTACTTCTCTTTTTCTATGGTACTTAGAGGACGGTTTAAATTTATCAATTGCTAAAGCACCAGTATCTGTTGTTATCTTTCAAATTATCATTTCTAACAAATTTTGCGGTCTTGTATTAATAGCAGAAAATTTTTTGTCGGGGATTTTGTGGTATGCGTCATGCAGTACAGTGGAGATGAAATAAATAAATAATTAAGTATTTTACAAGGTAGAAGGTAGAAATGTAAATACCCATCGAGAAATTATTGAAATTAGTATTTTTTAATTACTTAATATGATATAAATAGCCTTTTCGGTAACTGTTTGGAGAATTTAAAGGGAAATACGTTACTTCCGGAACTCAAAATATATTTATTTTTATATGTATATTAAATGCAGTTACTGACCTGGTTACTATGTTCAAAATCCATATTGTTAGAACTACCATTAACAGTAGAACTTGCTGTTTCAGTCATTGTATGTGATAATTAAATTCTGGCACTCAACAAACACATTATACAAGGTTGGTTTAAACAGGAATGGCTTAAGAGAAAGTTGGAAAGTGAAATTTGCGTGTCCTCTCGCGTAACCCGATCACACTCTCCGTCTCGTTGCCGCGATGAGAATGTGAATGAGATTGAAATTGAAATGGAAATATTACTACAGCGAGTACACGATATTTTAATTGAGTAGAAGTAGGAGAGCTAACAGCGCAGCAATGGTTTAGTATACAGGGTGTTTCATGTGGACCGTACACTAGTCTTATCTCAAAAAACATTCAAATCTTTAGTTTCAAAATTTGGATTTTCTCATAACTGTAACTGATCTACTCATCTAAAATATTTACAATTTACTATCACATACGACAAAACCGGAAGTTTCCATCAACTTTGTTATTTTTAACAGAACATCCTGTATATTAATGTATTTTTAAATTGTGCGTTTAATTTTATATATTGTCTAAAATGTTCTGTAGATTATATATTCTATATATTATTCTTCTTTTTAATTCTAGAGATTAGGGGAAACGTGAGTACACTGAGACGAAAAAATTTAGGCCTTCATATTTTTTTTCAAAATGTTTTTATTTACTAAAGTATGGCGAAAAGACATGACTGGGTTAATTGGTAATACATATGTACACTTCATAAACTAGCCTCTAACGTCCACTGCTGAACATAGGCCTCTCGCATGCTTTTCCACTTAGTCTGATTTTGCGCCATCTGAATCCAATTTGTAGTCACTCTTTTTATGTCATCTGTCCATCTCGTTGGGGGTCGACCTCTATTTCTGTTAGCATGTATTCGGTGTCTCCATTCCAAAATTCTTTTTGTCCCCTGGTCATCAACTAATCTTGCTACATGACCTGTCCAGTTCCACTTTAGTGTTGTTATCATTTCATTAACGTTTGCTACTCCTGATCTTTTGCATATAGTAGCATTGGGTATTGTATCACGTAGAGAAATCCCTTCTCTCCATTGCCCTTTCCGCAACTTGTAGTTTACTCACTGTTGTTTTTGTGAGTGTTAGGGATTTTGCGCCGTAGGTCATCACTGTCAAAATACACTGATGAAATACTTTTTATTTCAGACACATTTTAATCTTAGACCTAAAAATATCCTTCATCTTTCCAAATGCAGCCCAAGCGAGGTTTATTCTTCTTTTCAGCTCGATTGTTTGGTTGTCTCGATTTATTCTGATCTCATAGCCTAAGCATTTATAGAAGTCAACTGGCTTAATATCTTTGTCTTCTACTGAGATGTTTTTGTTGTGGACTAGGGGAACGACGGGTAATTACGAACACTTAAGGAAAATAATTGTTTATTTGAAATATAAAAATATTGAAAACTCGGAAACTACTACAGAGTGGCTAACAGTAATACAACTATCAATTTTTGTTATTGGATAATCAAAAATAAAAATTTTAATAATAAAAAAACTCAATTAAAAATTTTCACGAAATGTTCGCTGTTACCCGAAATGTTGGATAATAATAAACATGAGTAGGGTAATGGCGACCAGTATTACCTATTAATAAAAATTACATTTATAGTTGTCCGGTGTGCCCGAGCCGCTGCATAATTTATGCACCCATCCACCACATATAATACAACGGAACCAAAGTTCGCTTTTCCCGAACTCACCACAAATTAAACAAGATTCTCCTTCATTACAATTGTCGGTAGGTATTAATATCGTCATTTTCATCAGATTCATCATCTTTATATGATGTCAAATCTTCCTCTTCGCTTGAAGTTTGTAGTACTTTTCTCTTTGCAGTTTTATTTTTCTTTTTTAAAAATGTTTGTTTTTCAAGTTCTTTTTCCATTTTTAGTTTCCTTCTAAGCTCCTTTTATTCGAGTTCTAATTTCAAAGGCGTTGAGGTTAATATTATTTCGGATCTTTGTTTTTTTCTTTCACCCTTCTTCGGAACAGATATCTTTTGTTTTTCTTTCGGTAAAGACAAGATATCGCTGAATGAAACATTTTCGGTATTTTCACATATCTGGTTTTCTTTGAAAGGGCCTGGTTGGGGTTCCAGTAAATCTTCTTGAATAGTTTGTGAAAGACCTTCTTGGCTATTATTTTGTTGAGTTTGATTATCGTTTGAACTGTAAAAGTCTTCTTCATTAAATTTATTTCGGTTAAATGGAAAAATTCCGGTCTTTTTAAAACCATTTGCAGGTTTGTATATGCTTTTAACTCTAGTATACGCCTTTGAGAATAAAGTGCTAATATGGCACATTTCAATTACCACATAGGGTTGAGATTTTAAAAACAAATCACATTCAACGTCATATTCTCGCTTCAATGATGAGAAAAAGCTAACGTCTAGTGGATGCAGATGATGCGAGGTATGTGGAGGTATTGACAGCATAATGGTACCATTTTCTTTGCAAAAACTATAAATTTCAATAGACCAATGACTGGAGTGATTGTACAGCACCAGTAAAATGGGATCATCTCTTGTAGGTTTATTGGTTTTCGCAAAATGTTGAATCCAAAACAGGAACACTTCTTCGTTCATCCAACCGCTTTTTAAACAGGAGTACCAAGAACCTGGAGGCCCATCCTTTTCTAAAGCAGGATTTCTTCTCAGTCTTGGATAAATGAATAGTGGAGGTGTAAAAGATCCGCTGGCACTCATACAACAGCATACCGTCAGTTCTTGCGTCTTTCTCCACTTGTAACGGCTCCAACTTGTTTTTGGACTCTAGGTCCAATGATCCGATTAGGCCTATTTACGTTTGTAATGCCAGTCTCATCGACATTAAATATTCAAGTAGGTGGAAACTTGTATTCATCGTACAGCTTACCCAAATTGTCATAAAACCTTGAGACTTGATCTTTATTGAAACCTTGAATGCGATTAAGACTTGTTGCTTCAGGTTTACGAAAACTTAACTCAGGATGCCTTGACATGAATCCATATAACCAGTCCCTACCTGCTTCTTGTTTTTTTCTGTTGAAACTATGTTTTAAATTTAATTTCTCAGCACAGGCGAAGGCCTCTTTTCGTAACTGAATTGGGGTTAATCCATAAAATATTTTAGATTCCGTTAGTAAATGACGACTCATTTCTTCTTCCTGTTTATTTGAAAAGAGAGTGTTTGCACCCAGCCTGCCTTTGTAAAAGCCTCTAGAGACTCTGTTTAGTAATATTGTAACAGGTATTAAATTGGCGTGCAGCTTTCCTTAGGCCATAACGTCTTTCTTCAATAATTGCCTTTAGAGCAGCTTTCATTTGATCATCAGTCCATAAAAATTTGTTGGTACCTCGTTTCCGTTTAAAAAGCATCTGAAAAAGATACAAATTGTTAAAAAAGCAAAAGAAAAGCAAAAATGTAAAGAATCTAAGCCAAATTATTAAAAGAGTAAACGCGAACACTTGGCGGGTAATTGCGAACATCTGTTCGTGATTACCCGATTTGGAAATGAATATGAAGAAACGAAACAATCATAATATAAATGCATTTAACTTCTCCGTAATAGGACAATTTTATAGGTTAAATAATAGTAAGTTAACTAACTCTAACAATTTAAATGAAACCATCTAGTATTTAGGTACATACCTTATTTGTATAAAACTAAACTAAACTTAATTTTATTTTAAGACCAACTCTTTTTGTGCCAGTATAGAGTTCTTGGAACATTATCTGTGCCTGATCAAAGCTGTCTAAAATAAGAACGATAGCATCTACAAATTTAAGGTTATTTAAAAATTTTCCACGCATTTAAAATTTTTTTTCCAAAAAACGAGTGCAGAGAAATAGAGAAACCTATATAGCTTTAATAGACCTGGAAAAAGCATATGATAGTGTACCGATCTCCCAACTATGGATAGAAATGGATAACTTGAAAATAAACTCAATTCTTATTAACGCCACTCAAAAATACTAGGAACAAAACTTTGCAAGAATTAAAATGGGACAAGAAATCACCTCTCCTTTTCAAACAACAAAGGGACTAAGACAAGGCTGCTGTCTATCACCCACCTTATTTAAAATCTATTTGGACAGATCCTTAGTGAAATGGGTAAAAAAATGTAGAAACATGGGAATAACGGTAAAAGAAAACACGCTATATACACTTTTCTTTGCGGATGACCAGGTAGTAATTGCCGAAGATAGCTACGATCTTAGCTATATGGTAAGAAAACTGCAAGAAGAATATGAGGTGGCAGGTCTAAACATGAATATGACAAAATGTGAATATCTATCAGTGGGAACAGATGAAATATGTGACCTAGTCTTGGAAGACGACAAAATCAAAGACGTACAATCCTGCAAATATTTGGGGGTCATTTTCAATAAGAAGGGAAATAGCGCAGATGAAATCAGGGAAAGAATAAACAAGGGTAGAGCAGCGACCCGTCGCTTAAACCAAAAAACACATTTACGGTAGTATAGTCCAAAGTATTACACTTTACGGTTCGGAAGTATGGGACGTCACCAAAGCTAATAAAAGAAACTTATGACGACAGAAATGGATTATCTGAGACGAAGCTGCGGTAGATCAAAACTAGAAAGAGTTAGGAACGAACAAATAAGAAACGAAATGAAAATGTAGCGAAATATCAATGATGACATAGAAAGAAAACAATTAATCTGGTTCGGACATGTTAAAAGAATGCCAGAGTAGAGATGGCCTAAAAGAGTACTGGAATAGATCCCTCCTGAAAGAAGAAAGAGAGGACGACCACGGAAAAGTTGGCACAACGATATTGATGAAGCAATGGCGGCAAGAGACTTAGAAGAGGCAACTGCGTATGACAGAAAAAGATGTAAATTGGGGGCGGAGAAGCGGCGACAGCTGTAATCAATCCGTTATTATATATTTATATATAAAAATTTTACATCTAAATTGATGCCCTTTTCGTTCCAATCTATTGTTGGACAAGTGTATTCTAGCAAAGTTGTAAATAATTTGGGAGACATGTTGTCTCCTTGCGAACGCCTCTTTCAATACGAAAGGTCCCAGTATCTTCATTAAGTCTTACACAGGCTGCAGCATGCTGATAGATGTATCTGATGAGGGATATATATCGGTGATCTATTCTACATTGTGTTAGAGCTTGGAGCATTTTACTTTGATTGACCTTATCAAATGCTTTTTCAAAGTCGACAAAGACA